ACAATGACATAGTATGTGGTTACTTTGTATGTAATAGTGGGTCAAATAATGGCCAGTACAGTTAGGCAAATAGAACGATAAAGAACAAATTGGAAAGAGCGGTGTGAAAATTCCTGATCCACACCCAACTATCTACACTTTTAGATTCCAATAATGTTATTATTTAGTTATTATTTTATTTGAATGTTTCTGAATTAATAAATTTAAAAAACATTATTATATTATATTATTATTAGTTATTTCAACGCGCGGTTTCATTTGTTTTTTCGTTCATTTCATGATTTCATTTGTTCATTTCTTTTCACTTCTTTCTTTCATTTTTTTCCTTAATCCTACCACTTAAATAGTTTTGAAGTAGTATTATTTTATTGATCGGGCGCTGATGACCTGGCTATTTTGCGACTTAATATCAAAACAACCAAACTAAACGATGTGTTTCGATAGATTTCACTTCATCTCATTATTCTCTATTGCATTTCTTTATTTTAAATTATTATTGTAAGTAGTTCTAAGTAATAATAATAAATTTATTTATTGAGCAGTGTGATGTTCGTTAGCGAACTTCCTCTACTGGATTTGCGTGAATGCGTGATTGGAGAAGCCTCCCAGTGAAGGCACTCCTAACGTGACTCTTAATGCAGCAGATCCCTGCTACAGAGGCGTTTTAGTCTCCTTGGTGGATTATGTGGTAGTGTGTCTGTTAATAATGTTTGTACAAGAGGCTTTGGATGTCCAGCTAAGGAATCATGAAGATTGTTGTAATATTTTTTAATTACATCAGCCACTTGTGGTGTTTGTAGGTCTTTATTAAGTGATTTATTGGTTATGTAGAAAGTTCTAAGTAAGAATTTATTTTGTTGATTAAGTTATTTTCCTACGGTAACTTCCTAAGTTGTTACCGTTATTTTATTATTGTTTACTTTAACACTTCGTTATCGTTAATTTTTTAACTTCTCTAATATACAGTGCCGGCCTCAGAGTAGCGCAACCGGGACAATTGCCCGGGGGCGCCGATTTGTAAGGACGCCCGTTGGTGGCGCCAGTCTTTCTTTAGAGGCGTTAGCCATTTTTAAGAAATAAAAAAAAAGTTCCAAAACGTATTAAAATAATTAATTTTAGTCTATCAATTGAATAGCTATCAAAATAGAGAAAGGTTTAATGCAATAAAATTCAAATATTACATAATATTAAACAGCATAGGCGCCGAATGCTTAAAGCCGGTACTGCTAATGTATATATCAAATCTTTTCCATTAAAGATACTTATTAATGTTAAGTTTGACTGCTTACATTTCCTAGTCCAGTTATTCTTCGATGTACCTTTATAATTATTTTCTCAGTATTTATTTGTTATCTGGCCTTTGCTTAGCCCTGATGAAGGGCTGGAACTTAGACCGAAACGTTGGCACAAAGAAAATTTGTGTATACTTCTGATGACGGCAATCCACAACCAACTATTTCTTCACGTTTTAAATTTCTCTTATAATTACTTATAAGAGAAATGTAAAACATATAAATTGAGAAACATTCCACTGCTGCGTCCAAGTCCAATATCAACAACGCTCCTCATCCACTTTAATTCGCCTGTTATTTAATAATTGGCTCGTATAGCAGGATCCCATATTATTATTAGCATACATTATATTTTTTAACATATATTACATAAAATTCGTATTTATTTTTTGTGGTGTAAGTATAGACAGCTCAGGCTTGTTAAGTATTATCATAATTATTACAAAGCTTTTAATATAATGGAGCTTGATGGGGCCGTTAGCTACTCCAGAGCAAACCTGATAAAAAGCAGCATGTACGATGGCTATCAGGAGCTCCAATTTGCATAATTAACACCGATCGCTAAGTGAGTTTGACCCAAACCACCATATGTTCGCCCGCCTCGTCTCTTACGTTACGTCTCCCAATCGTCAGGGACGATATAAAACCCTGAACATACTGCCAGATCGGAATCGACGTGCATTGCGATAAATCGAGCAGATAAAAAAATAGAGCAGAAGAAAAAAGTAAACATATGCAAATGTTTCGTTGGCCAAAGTATTGCGACAAACGAGGACCTATAAAGTATTTACCAAATGTAAATTAGGGATGGTGTTTTTTGGAATCAGGCGTTTTCACAAGACAAATCCACCAATCACTAAGAGTTATATACATCAATATCAATCCAATCCTCATCCTTAACCACATTTAAACATCATCTGTTTATTCATATCCTTAGCAACCATTCTTCCGAATATATGTAAGAATAATGTTTTTTATGGTTTTTAGAGCTATCGCATCATTTTACTGTCTTCTTGCAGATACATAAGTATTACCCATTGTCTATGTGTGAACACAATACATTTACCTATAATTCAAATGTTAACTTGTGCCTTTCTTCATTTTATTATTAATATTGTTAAGTTATGTAATTTAATTAATAAGATGAAGATTAACTTATATGCCAGACAAATGTCACTAAATTGTTCATTATAATTATTCTTAGGGGACTGAATGTCCCAGAATAAAATTTACTTTTCATTTCATTTCAAAATTATGAATATATCATAATTAAAAATTTAAAGAAAATAACTACATCGATCTAAAATAAAAATATTCTCTAGCTTTTACAAGTTATTACATGATAGGGTATTGTTAAAGGTAATGTGGTATTCGAACATTTCGGGTAAGTTTTAATTATATTTTTTTTCTGATTTCTACCCTACAATATCTTTTAACAATGCCCCAATTATTCCTGTTGAACGAATCCGATACCTAGGACCTCACCTGGACAAACGACTCACTCATACCAGACTGAAACGACAACAATCCCAAATTCTTCGTAAAATCCTCAATGTTCTCCATTTAGCCACAAATAGAATATAAGTCATCCATAATGCCACAAATAACGACCGTAATGTAACATATGTTTCCGAATTAGCTCAATCCAGAAACCTATCCTTCCATAATAAACTTCTGAACCATCCAAATTCTCTTGTTTCTAACCTTTCTTCCTCTTCTATTGCTGATAATCCACCGAGGATTCTGAAAAGAAGATGATGGTCTCGGGACCTTCTAATATAGAACTATAATTGGAGTGCTACCTCTGAGTAGTTTTTCTTCATGTTGTACATGCCATTCTACCAGTTTCAAATTTAATTGTTGTATTTTTCATGTAATGCAGTAGTGAATTTTAATATATAGGTTTAAAAAAAAATACTCTTAGGTTAGCAAAAGTATATCTTGCTAAAAATCTAAGATTATTAAATTAAATTAAAATGCGTCTCACCACTTCTACATATCTTTCTGATAAAATAGTGCTGGTTAATACATAAAGATAAGTTTAAACTTTTCGCAAACTATGAAGAACGCGAATGTATAAATCGGTTGTTTTTCTAAGCTAGTGTTTTTGTTCGTGCTCGCTCCATTTCCTGTCAGTTTTTTTGAAAATTATAATAACTCAGGGAAAATATGATTCAAAGATCGCCATGTTCGTTTCTGCGGAAATACAAAAGCTTGCAAAACTCTAGTTTCTTATTTAATAATACAAATATATCGTTGGAACCAATGCCATTAGAAGTTATTTATTATTTTTACTATATGATTTTTCAGCAAGTAAAGATTGGTTGAAATATTTCCAACGGCATTTGCTCATCTTCGCGACTTTTCCCAAAAAACTGCGATAAAATAGTTTTTATGGTAAACAATTCTAGAACCATAATCGAATGCATATTTTTGGTGTGCCCAGCTTAAACGTAATTGTAGAAGTTGCCATTTGGAAATTTCATTTAGTTTCATTAAGAACATGCATTTTCACTAAATAATATTAGTTTTCAGTAATAATTCTTTCGTCACTTAACATTATCTTATACGATTTTATATATATTTTACATATACATCAACGTTTCTAAAATATTTAATTTTCCAACGATGCCTTTTAGATTTACATTACTACTTTTATTTTCGCCTCCAACATGTGAAAATGTTTCACATTTTTTTTCCTTTTATTGATTATAAAATTGTTTTATAGTTTATATGCAGTCATGTATTATTATTACTGATCACGAGAAATAGTTATTTATTAAAAGTATAAATAAGACAAATTGAAAGTATTTCGAAGGTTCTGCATTTTAGTTCTTTCTGATATTAAGCTCCAGAGCCCTGACCTACCTGATATTAAAAACATGGGTACACAATTTCCTATATTTTAAGGTCAATGATGTTTTTGAAATTTAATAAAATCCTTTATGAATAAAGCCTACAGAACCAACATATGTTTGCACATGCTAATGGAAATGTAGTGAATGGAATTTGCTATCATTAATAATGAGTTTTATCATTCGTACATTAGTTCAAAACCTTCCCATAGCTTTGAGTTAGTTTGGACCAGCTGTTTTCAAAATACAAGTATTTCATGGAAAATAAGATTGAGCATTTGTAGCCGAACTAATTACATCAAAATCGGATTATTCTTATTTGAAGGTATGCTCGTCACATGGATTTTATTTTGTTCCTAGAGGGTAAAAAGGAGGTAAAAAGAATAAAAATGTTCAGTTTCGAGGATATTTTTTTTTATCAGCACATAAACGCACAAGTTCCCATCTTCGGTAGTGAGGAAGTAATATTATCAATTACAAAAACAATTTCCTATGCCAGAGGAGCTACCGCTCGCTATATTGCATAGACTTTGGATACATTAACTTTTATTTTCAATTTATAATTTTTCAGTGTTCATTGGTAGACTAAAAACGGTTACTCTTACATATTTCTCATTCAAGGTAAAATAGATAGTCACGCTTTAAATTAAAGAGTTCTTAATCTTTGAAAAACAAAAACTTATGAATTATTGGTACCAAGAATATTTATATTAATTGTTATGAATTTTTCCAACCATTTTAAATGGATATTATACAAGAGGCCCTTGATGAATGGTTGAATTCTCGCGTAATTATACATTTTACCAAAATAACTCCATCGAAATTCATTACATAAAAAGTGAGATATTATTACCAAGTACGCGAACGTAGGCAGATGTTGTTGCTGTCCCAAGCGGATTGGTGACGGTACAGGTGTAAGTACCTTCGTCGGTGAGGCAAGGCTCTGGGATTTCAAGCGCTGCTGTTTCTGCCTCAAACCAATTCTTGCCTCGTTTGACCAACTACAAAAAAAAAAAAAAGAAAAAAGGATTAAAATATAAACTTTAATAAGTCATGTTACAATTAAGAGTTATACTCAAGTGTTGCCGAGTGAAATAAAACTCCAAAACCCATTTTCTCGGAAAATGGTCATTTCGCTTTAAAAGTTCTTTATAAAAATCAAACTATATAGTCCGTGGGACAGACCCCTTTTTATTAACATCCGGCTGTAACTTCGTAAATAGCTTCATCTCATCGTAACCTACAAATATTTTATTTACGAAAATTCTAGGAATTGGGGCGTTTTCAATCTGGAGGTCGGCGAACTTTGTCTATTTAATTAGGTACTAAAAACTCGAAAATAATCATTTGCTTTCTACCTGGATCGCAAGATAATTTGATCACAAAATCGATAAAAAAGGTGGCCTACAAAAATTTTGGGCCGTTTAATATAAATAACCTCCTCATTTTGAATATTTGGAGTTGTAGGTCACGCCAAACGGCTCAACATTTTTGAAGGCCACCTCTTTTATCGACTTTGCGCTCAAGTTATCTTACGATTTAAGTATTCCTAGAACTTTCATAAATAAAATATTTGTAGGATACGATGAGATGAAGCTATTTACGAAGTTTCAGCCGGATGTTAATAATTTGATAAAAAAAGGGGTCTGTAAAACGGACTAATAGCATGATGAGAAGAAGTACAAAATGTACTTCTAGATCACTGGAAAAATTTCTTTAGCCTATTAAAATTGAGTTAACTTTAATCTATGCTTTCGTACTAGCTTGATTTCCTTGTACCTTTATCCAAAAAGTACAACGGAAAGCACACCCAACAAGTTCTGAGATAACCCACCTATTTGTGGATCAACTGTGAATCAGATGGGACAGTTGGCTTGTTCACCGTAAATTTTAGGCTGTTGAATCAATGGAGACTACTCTAGTCCTGTAAATCAGTAGCGGATTCCGGGTTTAATTTGGGCGAAAGGTAGAGCTTTGGTACTATATTTATCTCAATCACAGATTGAACAAATAATACCGCACGTTCATACAAGCTCTTCTAAAAACGAATGGATTTTCTCTTTTAAGAAAAAAAATTGCATAGAAGCCGCGATTGCACTGAACTGTCACTAAAACTTTTAAAGGAATTAATCAAAGGTATTTATGTTATTTTCTTATATCTATTAGTAAGTAATGACAAATTCCAGCGGTTCAAACAATTTATTATGCATCGACAGCAGCAGTGGGGAGACGAGACGCTGCACCAGGTAGACCGACAAGAACCACAGGAAGCATAGCAGAAGGTCAATCATGAAAATAAAAGATTGAAGGAAACTATGAATGAAGCGAAGATAATTGGCAGCTGTAAGATTAGGCACTCAGCTAACTTTTGCTGCTGCCGAATTCCGTATTGCCATAATAAATAAATAAATGGGACGCAAATAAATAAATAGTAAATAATGTATTTAGATTATAAAAATAGTTGAATCGTTAAGTAGGTTGGTGCAGTTTTTTTTAAAAGCGTGATAATGTATTTTCTTCGCCGTTTCAATCGTATACTCGTATACTTTAAATCTTTATGTTAACGCAAATAATCGAACGGATTAATGGTATCATTTTTAACTCCATCCATGCAGTAAATATCCAAACAAATTTAATTAGTTATCGTTGAAATTAAAGCCAGTTGAAAAAAAGTGGCATATCAAAATTCAAAATAACACTAAATTAAAAAAATTCGATAGGTCACAATTTTTTGGCGTTACGGTTTCGTAAAATGAAATGTTACTTTTGAGTATTTATGCACGAATGCCCTCCAGTGAGATGCTTACAGAACAATCAAGTGATATAATGGATACCTGTGGTCGGAATAAGATGCAGCACGGAATAAAACAAACCGACAACTGATTTGAATAGAAATGAAATTTATAAATGGATCAAAAAAATAAAGAATTTGGTTAGTCCAATCTAATAAATATTGTGTTTTTGTGAGAAAATTTGAATGGAGTATCAGTAAGGAAAATTAGAAATAAAAAATATTCCGACATATCAATTTAAACCTTACAAGGAAAACTGGAACATATAATCAAACGATTCCTTTTTAATTTTTTATTTTTACCTCAATCGTTCTTCAATATAAGAATCCTATTTGTATTGGAAATCAAAACATGTTATTATACCGTACTCTTTTCATCATAAATGTTATTTACATTTATTTATTATTAATAATTACACTTCTTTCAATTTTGTTTAAAAGGAATGGGGAGGGGGAGGGATGGGTTTCGCGCTCAAGACACAAGGTCGGCAGTCTTACCAATTTCTCAAGATGCCTTTGAACTTCAAATAACTCTACCTAGCTGGAGGAGTTTCACTTAAGTGATTACTTTTAAGAGAGGAAGGTGGAACGACAGGAATAAATTCGTTATTGCATGGTTATTCAGAGAGGTTAGGAGACATGGTGATATCAACGAAAAGTGGGCTAAAGATTATTACGTGATAATTAATGGTTTCCGTCCTTATAAATAAATATCTTTTAATTTGGTCTAGAATTAACTAAAAAAATTAATTTGATATTTTCCAGTCAGATTTAAAGTTTTAATATATATATATATATATATATATATATATATATATATATATTGTTATTTATTTAATTATGTATAACTATTATGGTAAAGACTTATTTTCGGTGACGGCATAAAAATAATATGAAAAATTGTAGTTTTCATTTGTTGTCAAAAATGTTAACTAATTATAATAAGTTGGTATGTTATGTCTTCTATATCTTAGGGCTATGATGAGTAGTGAATCTCGACTTGTTCTCAAAGAAACTTCAACCTATTTATAGTGATCTTAAAACATTTTTTTTTTATAATGTTTTTCTGAGAGTTCTGATGGAGGAATAATACATGTATTTATGAAAAAAATAACATAACACTTAAAAGTCCCCTTTTATATGGTTTTAACCAGACCTGGGCGAAATATATTCTATTATTTTAAAATACAAGATTTAAAATACCACGTATTTTGTGTTTTTAAAATACTGTGCATTTTAATTACAATGTTTTAAAAATACTTACAGTAAAATTATTTTAAATACAAGATACGTTTATTATTTTGTATTTAAAATACAAAATACTCATGTCTAATGTACCTAGTTGCACTTTACAACTGATTCCTATAAACAATTTATAATGTGATTTATAAAAATAAATTTTTATTTTACTATTCTTTTTTTTTTTGTAAGGAAAGCACTTATGAAAGGAGGGCACCGTAGATGTAGATTTAAAACAATCAATTGAGAAAAAAATATTTTATTCAATCAATATTTTTTGTAAAGTTACAAAAATTTGTTAAATAAAGTAATTATTGACAAACAAATAAATAGACTACAAACCTTTTTTCAATTAGACTTTGTGTGGCATCCATTCCTTAAACAATTAATTATTCAACAATTTCACTCTGGCAGCATCCAACACATAAGAGAACAACTTGCGTTTTATTGCCGAGGATAATTGTAATAAAAAAATAGCATCATTGACCTTAAAAACTTTTCAAGCTCAATTTTCATGGGTGAGTTTTTGTAAGAACGATTTTATATATGAAGTTATATAGTCTTACAATATAACTTAAAGGCGCCATTTCAATTTCATAATGTATTTAAAATACATAATGAAATCGATGTTATATATTTTGCATTTTAAAAATAAAATACTACACTTTTAATTGTATTTTCCAAAGAAAGGAGTGAAAAAAAAATTGCCAATGACCCTATCGGGTAGAGACAAATTCAGATAATAAATAATAAATTACAAACAATGTATTTTATATTTTACTTCATAAAATACAAAAAATGTATTTTATTTAATGCTTTAAAATATTGCCCAAGTCTGGCTTGATGACTAATTATGCTTTCACTTGAAGTAAATTTTGTCTAGTTTACTAAGAATCAATTGTTAATTTATAAATAAAATAGTTTCTTAGTTATCACTTTCTATTCAACAAGGAAAGTGATTTACTTTTAGCTGAAAACTTAAATTTCCTATTTTTCTGAAAAAAATAGGGCCATATTTTAAATCAACTTTTTGTAGCTCTAAAGTCTACTTTATCCTCGTCACAGGCGGATCTACGGGGGGGAAGGTGGCTTTCGGGCTGAATCCCCGCCAAAATGGGGCTTTTTTACAAAAAAAAAATACTGAAACTATCTCTTAAAGTATTCTTGTTTGTGTAATTACATTTAATAGGACTTCAAGAACTACTTCATATAGGTAGTTAATTTCTTTCTTTTTTTTCAAATTAATTATCGTTATATATATGAAAAAAAAATCTTTCGGGCTGGAGCCCCCCCCCCAAATTAAATCCTGGATCAGCTAGTGAACCTCTTTAAATAGTTTCCTTTACTTACGGAAAATCCTGCATTATTTTTCATGATAAAATAATATTTGTCTTTACTTTTACTATATATTTATAATAGTTACCTTTCCGTCCTTGGTCCAAATGACAATAGGTTCAGGTTCTGCCTTGACCCTGCACTCGAGGTAGAGAGGGTGCCCGAGTGTCACCGTGGTGTCGCTGAGGGGCCTACTTATCAGCGGCAGGCTGTCGCACTCCCTGTCGGGCAGAAACATAAATTAATTCAACTGTAATAAAAATTTATGTTTTTTCATTTACATGTATTAAATTTAAATTAATTTATTATTAAGGTACACTCGAAAAAAAAAAAATGTAAAATGTGTAAAGTGTAGTATTTTTCAATTCCTCAGCGATAACAAAGTTGCAAGGAACCAAAACGATATAAAGACATATCAGTTCTGATAGAGTTTTTATTTAGTAGAGACTGATAAGTAAAATCAGAATATTTTAAATATCGATTCGTTCCACGTAATGTTGATAACATGAATGAAACTATTATGAAAGATGTTTATAGAAACTTTACAATAAATCAAGGATTCTTGTAACCATCAAGCAGGAGACCAAAGAAAGCAACTCATTGATAAATTTAAGGCTTGAAACTTATGTTTCAATAAAGAAATATCCAAAACTTCGCTTTAGCTCTCATTTACCTCTATCTGCTACCTCTTGGAGGCCATCAGGATGATTTCTATAAGGATGCTATCAGTAATCTAACTGAAAGTTTAATTAGTTCTTCTTATTCCATTGCATGATATCAATAAAAGCAGCTGTTGGACAAAAAATGCTTTCTTTTAATCCAAATCAATCATATTCCAACGGTATTCGATCTGCGCCTCTTTTGAAAATAATTGATTCTTTTCTTCTAATTTCCACTGTTATAATAATCCACTGTAATCTGGAACTTTTAGAAGATCCCCCAATACCCCATCCCAATAAAAGTGAATAGTCTTACCTGTTAATCAATATACTTCAAAATATATTTTGAACCTCGTTTAAATAACCTTAGGGTATGAATTAAGACGAAACTATCTAATTCCTTGTCTCTTTGCTTATTTCCTCTTACTTTGACGACAGTTATCTTATAAACAAGTTAAATCTATAAGAACATAATTCAAGATGAAAACCATTAATTAATTCTCCTATAGCATTTCACAGTACTACACTAATATAAATAACTTTTCACTAATTGATAACGCTGGAAATACTTTCTTCCTTTGCATCGTGAATTCAACATGTACTCCTTGCATCTTATAACTTCTTATAAATCCAAAAATAACTCCCATAAAACACGCTCTGGGTCTTCTGTCATTGCTATCCGGTATATTTTTTTATTAACTGTGAACATTGAGATCGATAGATGTGTACCACCAACGCTGTGCCATGATCGTCATCCGGTCATGACATGATTGGCTGTCACAAGAACGTCTCAAGTGGGACGTTGAGGGTTGACGTCCTTGCCAAATTAATTGCGACCTCGAAAGAAATGTCTTTCAAAGAATCAGCTGACCTGTCTGGAGGATCCATTTCTCTCTCTGTCTAAGCTAACCTCTGTACTTTTTTAAAATACTTTTACACACCGGAATATTACCCAATTAGTTTTATTTAATTATGATGAAGGAAAACCATAAAAAGGAATAATATTTTTCTTTATTGAATACCAAATGGTTGACCATTGTATATTTTCACTAGCGTATCCAGGATTTAATTTTGGGGGAGGGGAAGGCTTTAGCCCGAAAGTTTTTTTTTCATATATATATAAAACGATAATTAATTTGAAAAAATAAAGAAATTAACTATCTATATGGAATGTAATGTTGCCTAAAATTGGTCGCCTAACTGTTGCAAGACCAAGACCAGGACTGGTAAAAAAAAATCGATTTTTTGAATTAAAATTAAGATAAAATAGTTACTAATATTTGACAGTTACTATATGTAAATCAATTGGTATAACCAATATACTTTTTTATTTAACTCCTATAATTTTTCATTCGTGCTTAGTAAGGTTTCTCCTGTCTAATAAAAAACGATAATATTTCTACAGTAATAAACTAATAAGTAACTGCAAGACTTGCGAGACTCTTACGCATGACCAAGACTCGTCTTGGTCTTGCATTTGAGCAACACTTATGAAATGGTGTTTAAGTGGTTCTGGAAGTCCTAATAAATGTAAATACCCAAACAAAAATACTTTAGGAGATAGTTTTTCATATTTTTTTTGTAAAATATGGTAATATTTTACCATTTTGGAGGGGGGGGGGAGAGGTTTCAGCCCGAAAGCCCCTCTCTCCCCCGTAGATTCGCCTGTGTATATTTTAGAGGAAGGAGATGATCCGCGAGGTGGCGGTCATTTCTTTATCATTGATCAAACACACGACAGAGAGTAGTTAATACAACAGCAATGAAATTTCTCCCAAATATTTTTGACATTCTGACTAAGGTGGCTCGGAACGTTCCTTTTGAGATAACAAATACACGAAAGAACGAATGAAAAATGGGTATAGTCTAAACTGCAATGAATTGTGGTCCTAACGATATCGTACAGAATCTTCCACGATCTAAAGAACTGTTAAAAGTGAAAAAAGGCGAATCATCGACTCTACCCTAGATCATTTGTAAAATCATCAATAACTTCCATTAAAGACAATTTCACAATAAAAAAAGGAAGATAATAATCAAAGTAATTACTGATAAACTACGTACATTATCCGAAAAAACAGACCATTTATCATACATCATACTTTCTTTTGAACAATTAATAATGTTGGTTATGTACCTTAACTCATTGTGGGTACCTGAAAGGAGGGCCGTATCGCGGTTACCATCTCGACAGCCATGCTCCGACCCAAATCCATTATGCTCTTTTAAACTAGTCCAGCGCAAGCTTGGCAGTGATTGATAGTCAAGCGATAATTGAAAATTATGTAAATATCCAACTTGAGGCCCTCTCTTGACGAATGGTGAAAAGTGACATTTGTTTTTGACACATGGTGGACGCCATTATATGTTTCAGAAAGTAGTCCTGGTGAAATTCTTAGCAAAGTGGAATGATACCGTCATCCAATCCATGTCATTCCAAGCTGTCGGCTTTTAATCAGCAAAGTTATTTGTCGTGGCAAGTTCGCTAAATTTTGAAAGATATAGGAACATGACCAAGCGATATGTGACTTAATTAATCGAAAAAATAAAGTAATGCGTATTCTCATCAATAGACTCCATTTAAGTAGACCTTCTTAAGAAGCATAACATTTAACATGACTACTGAAATAGCTTTATTTTTATTCTTAGCTCATGTCAGTTATGATTTCTCGTGTTCCGCTTGTGAAGTTGAAGTTCTAGGTAATGTTCAAGGTCGTTTACTAATGAGCTATCAAAACTGTTCTAATATCTTTCCAAAATAAAATCATGACCATAATCATTTATAATTTTTAGTAATTCATCCTCAGGCAGAACATCCCTGTTATCAGTAAAATATACGTAATTAAATAAATTTTAATGCATTTTATTAAGTAGGAATAAATGAAATTAAATAATTTAAAAATAAGCTATCTAAATTTACGTTGTGCTAAATATATTAAACTTTTATTAAACAATAATAGGTTAGGCATAATTGCAATATGTGCAATAATTAATAACTTTAGTTTAATGCACATTTTTAATACGTGTTTAATTAATAAAATAAAATTTGGTAACTAAGTTCTAATGAAAATTTCAAAAAATTATTTTACTGAAAAAACTGTTCACAATATTTTATTTAATGAAATTCCCATTTTCAAATGTCCAGTTTTTGAAAGAACGCCCAAAACTCTATGACATAATTTAAATAAATACAAAATTTCAAGGAACCTACACATTTCCTTTAGAATTGAATTCTCCTCAAATTTGGTTCAGAGCATTCTTATCTTGGGAAGGAAAAATGTTTAATCGAATAAATTTATATAAATATGACATTTTCAACAACATATTGAAAGCTATATGATACACGGAATACTTTTTTTTTATACAGTTTATAATCTTCTTTTATTTCGTACATAAAAGTTGCTTTTCTAGAGTTAACCGAATTACAGATATTTCTTAAAAACAGGAAAAAAACCCAGTTTTCTATTTGTTTTTTTAAACTTAATATCTATCTATCAGGAATACTGTTAATACCTCCAGTAAGCTCTAGTCTTTCCCAAAATCGGTCTTGGTCTTGCACCTCAAGGCCGCCTAACTGTTGCAAGACCAAGACCAGGACTAGTAAAAAAAATCGATTTTTTAAAATAAAAATTAAGGCAGCATAGTTACTAATACTTGACAATCTTAGTTACTATATGTTAATAATTGGTATAACCAATATATTTTTGCATTTAACTCCTCTAATTTTTCATTCAGGCTTAGTTAGGTTTTTCCTATCTAAAAAATTACAGTAATATCTCTATAGTAATAAGCTAATAAGTAACTGCAACACTGTTGCGAGACTCTTGCGCAAGACCAAGACCATGACCAATACTGAGTTTGCAAGACCAAGACTCGTCTCGGTCTTGCATTTGGGCAACACTAGTAAGCTCCATTGAATAAAAACATGAGATTTAATTTATTATGAGAAAAATTTGAGCTTATTTGGCTATATATTTTATTCAAATCTCTCTCGTGTCCTGGAGTGTGCGTGTTGAATACTATTTGACTTGTTTAGTTTTATTCCCATTTATCTGCTTACCCGACTTGAATTTTTATTGGCTAAATCTCTTCCTTTTATGCTAACACTAATTAGTACAAGCTCTGTTGCATAATGGAACAGAAGTTGCGTCTTCTTGCCTGTATCCTTCATTTTAATTTTAAGTACGAAATGATTTTATATATGTGATCAGATTAAACGTAGCTGAGGAAAGTAAGTCTCTAAAAATATGTATATCGCTAAATATGTATTTCTAAATGTAAATTGCTAGATCCCAAACAAGTTTTTTAGACCTTACAGTGATTTGATTTTTACATTTAGTAACAATTTCAGTAATCAAAAGAAATGAGGTAGCTCGACGGTTTCGAGTCCACCTGTAGCTGATAATGGATAGCTATAGGTATATATATATATATATATATATATATATATATATATATATATATATATATATATATATATATATATATATATATTTACACATATATATATATATATATATATATATATATATATATATATATATATATATATATATATATAT